GGAGCTTTGGCCGGTCTGGTAGCCCTGCATGCAGTGCTCCGGGGCGGAATGGGAGCGCGACTGAGGGTACATTCCTTTTCATCTGAGATGGAAACCTGCTGGCTACCACGCTGAGTAAAGATGGAGCGTTACTGGGGTAGGCTCTGCTAGGAAGCAGAGCAGTGCCCAGGGTCTTGTCTTTTGGTTGCCTAAATAATTGTAATGGAGCTACAACTTTGTGGTAGTTTCCTCCCAAGTTTGATGCCTCTTGTGTGCCATCACTCAAATCAATATGTGTTTTCTGCCCCGGACACTGTTAAGTTTAAAGGCCATTGGGAAGAATCAGTGGGATAATAGATAGCCTTCCTTCTGAGCTACCTTCACCGATAAGTGACTGACTTAAGGGAGCGCTCAAGGCAGGAAGAACCCCGGGAGCCAAGAGATCAAAAGGGTTGGTAGGACTTCAGAAAGTGGGTTTTCCCCATCTCTCTTGAATGAATCCCTGTTAAATGCAGGCATCCATGCAGTTCCCGAAACTAACTTCTGCGGAGGCTACGGGATGAGGTGGGTGACGACTATCGTCGGTGTTGGCGGGTCGCAGGGGAGCGCGAGGGTGGGTAGCGTTTCTTGGCAGGCTCAGTTTGCCAAGTCGTAGCTGCTTTTGCATGCTCTGGGTGAAGTGTGGTTCGGGCAGAAGACAGCAGCGCTGGGTCTTGCTGTGAGGTTTGTGTGCCGGCTGGCTGGCCTGCGCTCCCGAAAGGAAGGCACGGAATTCGTTGTGGGGCAGCTGATCTGGAAAGCAAATGCTCAGTGGTGCTCTTCGCTTTACACTGCGGGTGCCCCGATACCCCGTGTGTCTCCTGCTCTCCTTTGTCCTCCTGGAGTCTGAGTCCTTACGGCCCGGTGTCCTCATCGCTGGTGACACTTGCAATGAAATAACAGGGTGTTGCCCTATAGTCCATTTTCTGTGCGTCGTCTGAGAGGACGGGAACCTGCCAGAGAGATTGCAGCTAGCCAGAGCCGGTGGCGACAAGTTTATATGGGTTTAAATGCAGAATGGATTACAGCCTTCCTCATTTGAAATTTTCCTGTGTTTCAGTCTCAAGAGATTAAAGCAGCATCTTTTTTTTATTGGAAGAGCAGAGCCTGATTATCTGTAATAGCAATGTTTATTCCCTCTGTCTCGTTCCTCTTGCTGCTTTGTGCCATCAGCCAGTTCCTGCGAACTGAGGAGCTTTCTGTGCAGAGACCTTTGTGAGAGGAGAGGGGTCGCGCTGTTACTGACTCCTGCCACTGGTGACAGAGGGACACGGACAGCCGTGTTCCTCACCTAAATGCAGAGTGAGTCCTCTTCCTTCCTGCCTAGCGCCAGAAGTTTGGGGAGCAATCCCCAAACACAAGTAGAATTGCCGCACCCCCAGTGACGGGATTGTGATTACCCCTCGTGCCGGCCCAGGTGTGTTGGACAAGAAAGCCTCAGGAGGGGGAAGCGCTGCCTTTCTCTCCAAGGCAGGTGCTGCCTCTCTATTTAGTGGTTTGTGGGTTTTTTTCGTGCTAGGTTTTTTGTTTTCTTGTTGTTTTGGGTGATTTTTTTTTTTTTGGAGAGATGGGCTGGGTTCATCAGAAAGTTGATTTTTGTGAAGGAAAAAGGAAAATTAGGTGTGGGAAAGAGACACAAAATTTATTAAAAATCTAGGACACTTTTGCAGTTTTAGATTTGGTGCAAATCGTTGTCAAGTGCGGATTCCAGCCGCTGGTGCGGCCGAGTACTTTGCAGGTACAAGTTCCCTGGTGCAGCTCTGACCCTTTCACGGGACCTGCGTCCCCTGCTGGGAGGGTCTAGAATTATAAGGATTTTCAGCTAATGGCTCTATATTGCTTTACAAGTTCTACAGCAGAGTAAATACTTGATGCTTCTCCTAACTATGGGGGGGTTTTGGAGGTACATAGGTGTTCACAGCATGCAAAAATGCAGTGAATTTGTTAGACAAGCGTGCTGAAGTGGAGGAAGAAGTGAAAAGGAGAAATCACAGGGAAAGGCTTATTAAACACCTTCACTTCAGAGAAATGAAGCAAAATTGCTAGGTGAGTGGTGTGCTTTGTAGAAATGTGTTCTCGGGGAGGTCTGGCTCAACTAATGAGTCTAATGTTAAAAATACCAGCTCTTGCTAAGAAATGAGCTGAATGCCTGATCTTCTGAGGGAGTAAACCTCCTTTGGGAGCAGCAGCGTGTGCTGGTGCTGGTGGCGTGGAAGTGTTCGATGGGGAAGTTTCTAGAGAACGGGTTCAAGTGTCTTTGGATTCAGTGTAGCATTCAAAAAAAAAACACCTGAGGATGTCCACAATCAGGATTCAAACTGTAAAGCAGTCATTGTTCACCTTGGGAGCTGCTAAAGCAGGAAGCCAAAAAGGAGGTGTAGTTCGTGTTCTGAGGGTGAAGTGGGATTGATACGCACAAGACGTCAGACTTGGTCACTGTTTTACAGTGAAACTGTGATGCCTCACATCCTGCGTTCCAGTCAGATGTTGATTATTCCTGCCGCATTAATCAAGGACTGGGGAATGAGTCCTGCAAGGCAAACTATGTGCTAGAATTAAAAGGATCATTTGGTTCAAAAGGCTTGATGCAAAATGGGAGGTTTCGGGTTGGGAGGGACCTCAGGATGTCTCTGGTCCCACCTGCTGCTTTACACAGCTGTGTTCGACACAGACTTCACATCGTGTTGCTCAGGGCTTCCTCCAGTTGGGTCTGGGCACGCGGGAGAAGGGAGGTTCAACAGGGCCAAGTGCGGGGTCCTGCCCCTGGGTCAGGACAGCCCCCGGTATCAGCACGGGCTGGGCTGAAGGGATGGAGAGCAGCCCTGTCGAGAGGGACTTGGGGGTGTTGGTGGGTGAGAAGCTCCCCAGGAGCCGGCAATGCACGCTGGCAGCCCAGCGAGCCCCCGGCACTCCGGGCTGCATCCCCAGCAGCGTGGCCAGCAGGGCGAGGGGGGATTGTGCCCCTCTGCTGCGCTCTGCTCTG